TATAGTGAATGCTACTGCTACAGACCCCTCGACGCACAGGCAGCTCATACAAACACGACGCCAGGTCCTCAGCCGCCTGTGCACGGGCTCTGGCTCTGTGTAACTTCCAGCTCTTGCCCAAAGTCAAAAGGACCAAAAATATAAACGTTTTAAATGGCTCTGGGACATTCAAGGCAACCACAACAGAGCAGCCACAGACGCTGATGAAAGGGGACGCCTGAGATGTTCCAGCAGGGGCAGGCGCATGGGAGGTGTGTGCAGTTCAAGGGGGAGGACACTGAAGAAGGCTGGTGGCAATGCTTGTTTTACTGTAATAAACATCTTTTTTTTTTTTTTTTTTTTTTGGCAGAACTGAGGATTGAACTCAGGCCCTTGTGTTTGCCAGGCAAGCACTTACTCTACCGAGCGATCTCCCCGGCCCCCTGTAATAAACATCTTTTCATTTAGAATCACTGTGTCATCATATTTCATGTGTATGATTTCTTTGTTAATTCCCCAGCGCATGACATAAAATTCTATATAAGATTCCTGAAGCTTGCTTACTTGCTAAACAAACCAAGTGACAAAAGAGATGTTGGTGTTGTCTCTAACCCCCCTGTTGGAAGGTATGGACTCCGGGCCATTGCCAGCAGTCCCTCAACACACATCTTCTGAGAGCCAGACTATCACAGCCTTGAGGCTCTCAGGCAGTGGCGACATTCCAGGCCTGTGCGCTCAGGAGGTGACCATGGGACAGGTGACACATGACGGGCGGGCAGTGCTGAGCGGGGGGAAGAGGACAGATGGGATGGTGATCCAGAGCCTGCCAAGCCCAAGGCCCTGGGGAGGAAGCCACCAAGAAGGTGCTGAGCGGGAAAGCAGGCACTGTGGCAGTGAGGAGTGGGCAGGGGATGCAGATGGGGTGGCCGTGTCATGTTGTGACAGGGAGGGTAAAGCAGACAGGAAAGTGTAGGGGAAGATGAGGGAGCGCGCCGGGCTGGAGCTGCTCCGGCACGTGGGCCACACACGCACGCACGCACGCACGCACGCACGCGCCCGACGTCCCGCCCGCCCTCACCTTGGTGACTTCTACGCAGCTGCGGACGCAGTGCACACACATCTTGTCAATCTCCATGGCGTTGGGGTGCAGGATGATCTCGGGCGCGGTGAGGATGGTCTCCACCTGGAACAGGGGCTTGCTGCCGAGGACTAGCGCGTTGAAGGACTGCAGGTTCCTAGGAGCCATGAAAGGAACACTCAGCGCGGCCCACAGGAGATGGAAGTGGCCGGGGCTGCCAGATGGTGGGGAGTGCCCCACCACAGCCACCCTGGGGGCGGCTTCCTGTATTACTTCTTAGCTTAAATTTGCACAGATCATCTGGAAGTGGACTGCCAAACAGTGGCAGGTAATAACTATCTTCCAAAAGGGCTCACTCATGCCCCCACCCTGCCCACCTCCTGCGCTGTCCCCTGGGATGAAAGTGGGGTGACACCAGGATGGGCACTGCATGGGCCACACACCCGCTTCTCCTCTTCCAGTGTCTGAGCCAAAGTCCCACAGCTCCAGAACACTGCCTCCTGCTGGACTTTCCAGACAGAGCCCCTCCCTCTGGCCGAAGTCCCCTCTGGGTGCCCTCACTGGCTGTCCTCCACCTGAGGAATCCTCTCCCCCAGCTTACTACTTTTTTGGGGGTCTTGGCATCTCCTGACCTCCCAACCCCATTCTCTCCTAGGACAACCTTTCACAGAGAGCATCTCATGTGGATCCATCTCCTTGTGCCCTGCAGTCTCCCCAGGATAAAGAAACTCCAGGAGGACAGGGCCTCACCAGTGACCAGGGCCAAGTCCAGTGCCTGGTAAATGGCAGGCTCTAAGAAACTGTGAGTGAATGAATGAATGAATGAATGAATGAACAAATGAAGGCATGAGTGGATATATGAACAAAAGGATGGGGTGGATGGACGGATGGGTGGATAGACAAATGAGTGGATGCATGGACAGATGGGTGGATGGATAGGTGGACAGATGACTGAGTACATGGATGGACAGGTGGATGGGTGCATGGATGGATGCATGAATGAGCAGATAGATGGATGGATGACAGACAGACGGATGGATGACGGACAGATGGATGGGTGGGCAGACATGGTCAGATGCATGGGTAGAAGGATGGATGGAGACAGATGCATGGGTGGACAGATGAAGGCATGGATGAAGGGTGACTGGATGGTGGATGGGTGAGTGGACGGGTGGTGGATAAATGAAGGGGTGACTAGGTGGGTAAACGACAGATAAATACAGGCTCGGCTGCACGGATGAGGGGGAAGCGCAGCCTGTCAGCAAGGGAAGCACTATGGCAGGCCGAGCCATGCAAGGGGCCCCTGGCAGGTATCTACATTAGGAGGAACTGTAAAATATAAATGACATGTTATCCCAAGGTCTATCAGCAGCGCTCAGGGATGCCTTCCCTGGGGAGAGACCCTAGCGTCAAAATGGGGCAAAACAAGAAGACAACAGCCGGGCGTGATGGCACATGCCTGTCATCCCAGCACTTGGGAGGCTGAGGCAGGAGGATTGTTGCGGGTTCAATACCAGCCTGGGCTACAAAGGGAGCTCAAGGCCAGCCTGAAGTGCACAGCGAGATCTTGTCTCAAAAAAGACAAGAAAAGTAAGAAAAAAGACAAAGGAGACAGCATCAGCCGGAGAATGTTACAGCGTAACACTGGGGTCACGCTGCCCAGGGCCAACCCCTCCGTGTGACCACCAGCAAGCCGCTCGGTCCCCACAGCTCATCTGTGTGCTCATCTGTGGGGTGGCAGAGGGGGTGCGGGCTGAGCCTCCCCCACGGGGTGGCTTTAGCAGCACACGGAGCCAGGGATAAGACGCAAACCGGAAGTACCGGCACCCCAACTAGATTCTTTTCTAAGCTTTCTACCAGCCAAGGAGAACAGGGAAAAAAGCTAAAGGTCGACAGTCCGTGGGGTCCACGTCACTCAGAATCAAAGAGAAAAATCCTTTCCCAGCAGCAAAGGTCAAACAGAAAACTAGAGACGTTTCTCTGGGGCTCCTACAGAAAGAAGTCACCAAGTATCGAACAAAGGCCACCTCAACAACACACAGGAGTCACGGTGGCGAATTTCAGGACACGGAGCGGCCGGTTCTGCCCTGGCGCGGGGTGTGGGCACCGCTGCACTGAGGCTGGGCGCTGCCCTTGGCCGCAGTTGGCACCAGACGCGCGCGGAGCCCGGCCCCAGCCAGCGGGTGGGACCTGCTGGGGTGCTGTGCGCCCACGGAATGGGGTCTCGGGCCCTGCAGTGAGGTCGTCTGGCAGCGACTTCCTGAGCCCCCCAGATGGGCACTCAGGGCGACTTACTTCAGCACCAGCTTGGTGAGGACGTCGTAGACCCGGCCCTCCCAGTACTCGTAGTAGGAGGCCAGTTTAGGGGCGCGGCCCGTGTTGGTGTGGGCCACCAGCCCCTCCACCTTGGTGAGCAGCGGTCCGATGGCCAGGTACCACCGCACCATGCGCTCCACGTCCCGCGCCCGCTCGCGCTCCACGTGCTCGAAGAATTCCTTCACGCCTGCAGGGGAGTCACCTGTCAACCTCAGTCGGGAGCCAGCGGAAGAGGACAGGGTGCCAGCGCTTGCCAGGGATCGTGCCAGCCTGGAGCCCTCACACAAAATGGGGCAACACCCAAAGTCATGCAAGACCCCCTCAAGCTAAACACGGATGGTGACACTGGAGTGCCCGCCACCAGCTGTGCCGAAGGGTGTCGCACCAGCAGGCAGCTTTGGCATCTTTGGGAAATTAAATTTTTTGGATTTGTTTTGGGTTTGGTTTTGTTTGTTTGCTTTTTCCTCTAGTACTCAGGACTAAGTCTAGGGCCTCAGGCCAGGGAGATAGCTCAATAGAATAAGCGCTTGGCTAGCAAGCACAAGGGCCTGAGTTCAATCTCCGGTTCCGCAGTCTAGGGCCTTCACACTGAATTACATCTCTGAATTTAAAAAAAAAAAAAAAAATTGAGGCCAATGTTCAGGCTGAGCTCAAACTCATGATCCTCCTGCCTCAGCCTCCCAGACAGCTGCAACAAGAGAGCGGCACCGCTGCATCATGTTTTGCTCAGATTCCTGGCCGACTGTAAAATCATGCCTGAGACACTCTGTACAAAATCATGGGCAGAGAACAGGCAGTCAGGTCCCACCTGGGAGCTCGTCCTCGCCTTTTGTAGCTGGGCACTTGAAGAGATTGATGCACTCGATTAACGTGAGCCTCGAGGAGATGTCATCCGCGTTCTTCTGAATCTGGTGGACTAGGGACTCGAACTTCCCGATGGCCTGGCGGCACCGTGTGATGTAGTCAGCGATGCCTTGGAGGACAGAGAGGCACTGGGCTTTCGACGGTGTCTCCCCTCCCTCCTGCCACCGCTGGGGACCTCCACGCTGACGCCCCGAGGGGCTGCGCCAGGAAGGGCTGGGCCTGCTATCGGCCGCGGATGGCAGGAATGATGTCAGTACCTTGGTGGGGGCCCAGTATGGGTGGCAATATGGGAACAGAACCCAGGTCTTCACACAAACTCCACTCGTTCGTTCATTCGTTCGTTCGTTCGTTCGTTCGTTCGTCCATGTTATTGTGAGATGGGCTGTCGTGTGCCCAGGCTGGGCTTGAGCCTGGGATCCTCCTGCCTCAGCCCCCAGAGGGCCGGGATGCTTATGCTACATTCATGGCTAGGAGATCGGGACCTGCCCGGTCCTGACCTCTTCTGTCCACACCTATGGGTCTTCCCGTTAGACGAGCCCTGGACACAGGGCAGCTCAGGCTGTGCATCTTCCTCCGGCCCTGGCTCCCTGAGCGCCTGCCTGGGGCGCACCAAGGGTGTGAACAGGAAAGCCCAGGGACACACGGAGCAGCAGTCTGGCCCTTTCCACTCGCTTATACACACACCACACACCCCTCAAATGGCCACAGCCAGAACTATAAAATATACAGCTAACAGCTCAGTGGCACAGGGCCTGCCTGGCAAGAATGAGGTCCTGAGTTCAATTCCTGGTATAAGACAAAACAAGCAATAAAATATAAAGCTATAAACATTTTAGGGGAAAACGACAGATAGTCCTTGCACTCTGGTCCAGCCAGTGACCCTCAGACTCCAACAACACGATCCACTGATCCGTACTGATGTGCTGGACCTCATCAAAATGCGAAACTTTTGTGCCCAAAATAGCAGATGAGGAGGACATAAAGGCCAGTGACACGGGGGAGGCAGGTGTGTCACCACATCCAGCAAAGGACAAGTGCCCTGGGTACACAGAGATGCTCAAAGCTCCACACAGGAGCTGGGGGCGCAGCACCTGCCCTGAGCGTGCAAAGCCGGAGGCTCTATCCCCCAGTCCTGCAAAAAAAAAAAAAGAGAAGTAAACCTTCCATGGTAAGGTAAACAAATTCATGTGAAAATCGGCAAGAGCCCTAACAAGAGCTCTCACCAAAAAAAGCAGATGTAACTAAGGATGTGAGAAGACGCCCAGCGACAGTCACCGTTCCAGAAATGCAAACCAGCATTTAATACTAAAACATAAAACAGTGATGACGCACGCCAAACACGAGCCAGGATGTGGAGAAAGGGGGTCACTCACACGCTGCTGGGGGAAACGCAACATGCCGCCCCGGAAAACAGTGAGGCATGGTTTCTTAAAGCCAACAGCAGCTACCATCTAACCCAGCAACTGAACAGAAGGAATGTGCAAGGCTTACGTCCAGAGAAAACCCGGTGCGTCAGCGTTGCCAGCAGCTTTACTCACCAAAGTCCACAGTGGAGACAACCCAAGGGACCTCCAAGCGGCGATGTCGCTGGAGGCCAGCATGGGATACGACTAGGCCAAGAAAAAGGTACCCAGCCGCCATACCCGGGCCTCCCGAAAATCGGACTGAGTGCAGAAAGCCAACCCCAAAACTCCAGTTTTTTGACGACCAATATCCACATCATGGCTGCTGTATTTTGTTTTTGCAAGACGTTTCCAAAGAAGGAAATCTTCCAAGGGCAAGAGAATCTATAATTCTCCCCAAATTAAAACTTTAATTAAAAAAGGTAAAGGGCGCTTTCTTTTGGGAGGTGAGAGGTCAGCAGAGGGTCAGAATGGCACCCCATCTTATTTTGGCTCCCCCAGAAAGACCGGCGAGTCACTCCTGAGCTCTGAAAACTGAAAGTATTCAGTTTCATAAATTATTGGAAACATGAAAACGCCCAACTGAGCCACACACCCCGAGCCCTGCAGCCTGAGGCCACGCACGCACGCACGCACGCGCCTTACCCAGAGAGTTCCAGTTGAGCCGCTTGTACCCCGAGCGGAAGACGCGCACCAGCTCCTGCTCCTGGTCGTCCAGCAGCGCCGCCTCCGCCTCGCTCAGGGTCCCCATCAGCGCGTGGTAGTGGTCGAGCGTGCGCTGGATGCCCTCGGTGTACCTGCGCGGCCACCAGAGGGCGCCCCCGGGTGAGCCCGGAGGAAACGGGCCGCACGGGTTGCCACCAAGCTGCGGGCCGCCCGCTCAGCGCAAAGCCCTGCGGTCCACATCGAACAGCGCAAAAGAAGTAGACGCTTAAGACAGTGCTACTCTGCTTACTTCTTTGGAAAGTACTGGAAACCATTCATATGCCTCACGACCGATGTAATTTAAACAGGTAGTAATAAATTTTTTTTAATTAATAAAACAGCGGGATATGCCCTTAATCCCAGCACTCAGGAGGCTGAGGCAGGAGGATCACTGAGAGTTCAAGGTCAGCCTGGGCTACACAGTGAGTTAAAAACCAGTCTGAACTGTGTATCAAGACCCTATCTTGCAAAACCAAAACAAAAAAAAGAAATGATTTGCATTAACGTGTAATAGATTTGTTATGATTCTTTTTAGATGAAGAAATCCATACTTTAAGCCATACTTCTTTGTTTTGTTTGATTTTTTTTTCCTTATACTAAGGGATTGGACCTAGGGCCTTCAAGCTCCTTCGCACTGAGCTATATTCCCAGCTCCTTTTTATTTTTTAGCTAGAAACAGAATCTCACTAAGTTGCGAAATTATCCAGACTGGGCTCAAACCTGCCTCAGCCTCGCAGAGAGCTGGGATGCCAGGTGTGGGCCACTATGCCAGGCTACTTCTTAGTATTGTTTCTAATGTGGCCAATAGTAGCAGTCAAACCGGGTGTGGTACCAGGCATGCCTGTGATCCCAGCACTCAGGAGGCTGAGGCAGGAGGATCACCACGAGTCTGAGGTCAGCCTGGGCTACAATAGTGAGACCCTGCCTTAAAAAAGAAAAGAAAAGACAAAACCAATAGTAGCAGTTATAAAATCCACCAAACACCAGCACCTTGAGGGGACGGGGTCTTCCTACTTTTAATTCTTTTTATCTTCTGTTTATTTGGTACAGCGTCTCACTGTGCAGCTCGGACTGCTAGAGATCCTCCCCTCAGCCTCCCCAGCTCTGGGGCCAGCACAGCGTGCAGTACCAGAGATCAGACCCGGGTCCTCGCACTTGCCAGGCAGGCGCTTGGACCGCTGAGCTATCTCCCGGGCTTCTCCACTACTTTTACAGAGTACAAAAGAGACCAAACCTGAGATCAAAGGGTTCACGACTGATTTAAGAGGAGAACGTTTTACCTAAGAAACTTGTCCTCCTGCAGAGCCACATTCCTGGCCAGCTCGGGGACCGAGAAGCCCAGCTGCTCCAGGTACTTGGCTTCGTTGATGATCTCTCTGAGCACCGGGGAGAAGTTGATGGTGAACACGGCTGCTCTGTCCGGGGCGGCCGCTTCCTCCCCAGAGACGGATGTCTGCAGGAGAAGCGTCAGCCCCTGGTCAGCCAGGCGTGCGCAGACACACCACCGGGCCCAGGGCGGGCGTCATCCGGGAGCCAGGGTGTATGAGGAATTGGGGTCGCTCGCTAATATTCAGAAATTGGGTGATTTCATGCAAAAACCCAAAAACTCTGGCTTCCTTCGAAAGCACGAGAGAACTGGCTACATCCAGCCAGAAGAGGCAGGCGCTGAAGGCTGCTGTCCCCCTCCTTACACAGGACCTGAGTCCCCTCCTGGTCCCCTGGCCCTCCCTCCCGCCTTCACTCTGGCTGCCGCCCCAGGCCAGCCGGGTTACGAGGCCTAGCTAGGCCCCAAGGGGGCGACCGCTTCCTGCCAGCTGCCGGCTCTGTGGAGGTGCTTCAAGCACCTCCCGCGCTGCCTATGACTGGGCCGGCTCGCTCTGTGAAAGGGGAAACTGAGGCTCTGCATCCCGCTGCTTCCTTCCCCTGCTGGGGCCAGCCCATTTCTTCTGCGTTCTCCTTCCTACCAACTCCCAAGGGCGGTCAGATCATGCCTGGAGAAAATGACTCAGCAGCCACTGGCTCTGCAGGGCCACATCCGGCAGGGGCGGGAAGCTGTACCTTGGTGAGCAGGCTCTTCTTCATGAGCGTGGGCAGGATCTGCTCCGTGGCCTCGCGCCACTGTTCGTACTTCCGATCTTCGTAATCCCTCATTGTCCTACCCACCTCCAAGTATTTTTGTTTTACCTATCAAAGAATTTGAGCAACTGCTGTCTGTGTGTTTGTAACAGGGTCTTGAGCTCACTGTGTGGCCCAGGCCGGCCTGGAACTCCAAGCGATCCTCCTGCCTCAGCCTCCAGAGTGCTGGGATGACAGGCACACGCCACCACACCCAGCTCACAGCTACCAATTGACCTTTCTCACCACTCCTCCCACTCTCAGCATGGATGCCAGTGATCAGGAGTTATAACACGGTTTGGAAGGGCAGGGAGGCGGGTTTTCACGGGCAGCAGAGGCACCAAGGGAGATGCCGCAGGCTAATCCCAGCCTGCACTGAGCAGAGGTTCGCAGAAGCCACCGCGAGGGCTGTGCTTAGAAGGCGTTAGGGACAGAGCTGACACTTGCACATGGTTCAAAGGCTGCCCAAAGGAACAGCAGTGCCCAGCTGCGGGTGAAGAGGGCCGGCTGGGCTGCACCCGCCGATGAAGTGTCATTGGAACCAGGTGTGTCCACCCACTGACCACCAAGTCTGCTTTCTTAGGACAGTGGCCATGGCCGTAACTGTAATCCCCGTGAGCCTAGGACACATCCTCGGTGTTTAAATGAGAAGTCTGGCTGGATGTGGTGGCACTCGGCTGCAGTCCAAGCACTCAGGAGGCTGAGGCAGGAGGATCACCTGAGATCGAGGTTAAGCTGGGCTACACAGTGAGACCCTGTCTCAAAAAAGAAAAAATTGACCAGATTGAGGACCCCTGGAAAGACCCCCTAAAGTGCAGGCGGGACTTGAGCCCTCCTGCTTCTTCCACCAGGAGCCTCCGGCGGTGGGTGCAGCCAGCTGCAGGACTCGGCCGGCACGCGGCTCACCTCCTGGCCCCGCTCGCTGTCCAGGATCTCCTGGACCTCCTGGAAGCGCAGGATGGTGTGCTTGATGCGGTAGAACAGGGAGCGCTCCCAGTAGATGGCGCCCGCCACGGGCGGGTGGTTCTTACACAGCGGGGGATTCTCCAGGTTCTGCACAAAGATCCTGTTGATGACGTCGATCTGCAGGGAGACCCGAGAAGCCACTGGGTCAGCGATGTGGCAGCCACACACACCCGCGGGGGGGGGGGGATTAAATGTGTGACTCTTCAAAGACACAAACTGAGGGTCAAGAAATATTGCAAGGTAGAAACTTCCTGACTGAGGATCGTTTGCTACTTTTCCTTAGGCTGTCTGGTCATTTTCTTTTGGTTCAACATTTGCAAAGCTAACCAGGCATGGTGGCGCACACCTGTCATCTCAGCACTCGGGAGGCTGAGGGAGGA